TGTCATTTTGCATTATTGACACTATTTTCCTAATTAATGCTGTTCAGTTGCTTTGACACAATCTGTATTGTTAAAAGCGCTATATAAATAAAGGTGACTTGACTTGACTTGACATGATCCTTCAGAAATCACTCTAATATGCTGATTTGATTGATGCTCAAGTAACATTTTTTATTATTATCACTAGTTGTGAAAACAAGGTTTCAGCACTTTTTTTGCTGCGTAATATTTTTGTGGAAACTGTGATGCATTTTTTCAATATTGTTTAATAGAAAGTTAAAAAGAACAAAGTTTATTTGAAATAGAAATATTTTGTTACATTATATCTTTTACGGTCACTTTTGATCAGTTTGATGCATTCCTGCTGAATGAAACTACTAATTCCTTTAAAAAAAAAATCTTAATGACCCCAAACTTTTGAATGGTAGTGTACATTTGCATTTTTACAGAGTTGTTTTAATTTTTCTTGTTTAGGGCTGTCAAAGTTAATGTGTTGATGCATGTGATTAATTAAATAATGCTGGTAGCAGATTTATTCACTTGACAACATTCACTGTTTCATTCTGTTTTAATATAGGCCTATATTCTTTTAGGAGGAACAGAATGTGTTAATGTATCAACTTGATTTGCAATGAATTACTTCTAATTACATTTTAATAAATTGACAGCCCTACAAATTTTACAGCAAATGGCAGGTTTGCCGTGTTGATACAGTGTTACAGCAGAAGAGATGCTTATCTAAATAAAGTAATCTCTGAATTGTTAATAGTATCAGCTTTGCCTGGCAGCCAAACATTAGAGAAAACGGAAGGCAAAAGAGATTTTGTTTAATTGGAGCTTTATTTGTAGGATATAGTGTAGAATTTGCTTATCTTGGAGATAAGAGTTTATGAACCTTAGACAGATGTAGTTGTGTGGAGCCTTGGGAGTGTTGAGAGCTTGTGTTTGTCTCTGCACTGTTTTTGTCTTGAAGTAGAAGTGGATGCAGGGAACACAGAGAGTAACACTTAAGATTTAACAACCTTTCCACATACACTGCATTTTCTGAAATCAACCGCACTAATCTCTCCATTGAGAAAACTAGTGTGTAAGCACTAGAACATAAAGGTGTAATAAAAATGTCAAATCCTCATTGTGCATTTGAGGTGTATATTAGTTCAAATGGAGCTTTTTCTCATTTTACAGAAGCAGTTCACCCCAAATTGCCGTAGTTTACTCGCCTCCATGTTGTTCCAAATCCATTTGACTGACTTTCTTCTGTGGAACAGAAAAGGAGATAGTTAGGAGAATGTTCATACTGCTCTTTTCATGCATTGAAAATTAATAGCGACTAATGAGAGCAGAGGTGAAGGGGGAACATTTTCAGTGAATAATTACTTCAGTCTGTTCCTCACACAAAGCCTCAATATGACCTCAAAAGACATGTATAGCGCAATATTAGCTTGGCCACTTTTATAATCATTTTATGGAGCCATTTTGAATTGGTCAGCATTCACTTTAAATTGTATGGAAGTGTTATTTTAGTATTATTTATTTATACTATTATAGTATTCATATTTTGAATTTGGTTTTATTTTTAATTTTCATTTTAAATGTAGTTTTAGTAATTTTATGTGCTTTTGCTTTTAATAGTTTTTCTATATTTCTATTTTTTTTTTCCATGTTAGTTTCATTCATTTTAGCACTTCAGGTATCATTTCTTAAAAAATAGAGTATTTTTTTTTTACTCTAAATTGTCATCTAATATTTATATTATTTATTTCTGCTTTATTTTAATTAACAACTGTTATTTTTAATAACTTTAGTTAATAATGACAAGTCTGGTATAGAAAAGAGCAGCATGAACATTCTGCCTAACATCTCGTCTTGTCATCTAAGCAAAAATCATACAGGTTTGGAACAAAATGAGAGTGAATAAATGATGACAGTATATTAATTTTTGATGAAACTATCCCTTTGATGGACGACATGAAGATGTTTGTGAGTGAGGTGACAGTATATTTACACATTTCAGAGGTGTTTTTGTGGTTGTTCTCCAAGACATTAGTGATTCCGGTTACCTTGCTGACAAATCACAGTATTGTGACTTGCAGAGGATTACTTTCTCACTTGAGTGAAGGATAAAACCCACACTGAAGTGTGTTATTCATGATGTTGGAGACTCTTGATAACAAAAAATATGCAAAAGATTAGGGAGGATTTTGTTGTGGATTTGCACGTACTGTTGTCCTCAATTTCTTGTTTGATTGTCTCTGCACCATCTGCAGGAGGCTGAAAGCAATCGACTGTGTCGACGATTACAGCTAAAGGACATCATCCCTGCAGAGATGCAGAGGTTCACAAAGTACCCCTTACTGATGGACAACATTGTCAAGTACACAGGTATTCTCCTCCTTCATGCATCCAGGCCTCCTTTAGTCTGTTTTATGCATCGTTTGCACTGAGATTTACATTACAGTTAAATGAATGCTTGTTTTATAAAATATTTAATCCAAATTCAAAAAAAATAATTAAGAACAAAATGGCTACGTTTAAGATTGACATCCAAGTTTACTAACAGGTGTGACTCCTGTTCTTCTTTGCATTTAAAACAGTTGGAGAACGAAAGAAAACATCTGTTCTGTCATTTTGTGTAACCCGAAAGGGGTTGTCAATCATAACATTGCTGATTGACAGCAAAAAATTGTTCTCCTGTGCGCTTAAAACAGTTGGAGAACGAGGGAGAACATCTGTCCTGTCATTTTCTCTAACCCGAAAGGGGTTGTCAATCATAGCATTGCTGATTGACAGCAAAAAATGATTTGTGACACTCTCACCTCATGCCATAGGTATGTCAGTGATGTGACAGACAGCCAGTTGTCGACAGGAAAAACCAAACTTATTAAAAAATCAGTTGTGAGTCCTGAAAATTTTAAGGAAGTCACTTCCGTTATTGAATGTTGGCCATCTTTTTCATAACTCTGCATAAGACCTCAAGACAACCGTTATTTTCAACACTGATAAGAAGACATGAAGAAATGTTTTCATGAGCAGCAAATCAGTATATCAGAATGATTTCTGAACAGTCATGTGACACCAAAAACTGGAGTAATGACTGCTGAAAATTCAGCTTTGCCATCAGTTATAAATTACAGTTTAAAATATATATATAAAAAAAAAAATATATATATTTATATATATTTTTTTATTGAAATAATATACATTTTTTAAATAAAACAAATTATTTATTAACATTCATACAAATGTGAAGCAGTTTTTTTTTTTACAAAACTGTATTCAGATTTTGTTCTTATTGCTTATTGTATGTGTTGTCATTTTTTAAGATATTTTTATTTTCCATCTAATTTTTTTTCACAGATCCCCATCACCCCCTTGCAACCCCTACATTTTGGGGGAAATGAAGGATTAATTCTTGAAATATATGTAGGAGTGTATATGTTTGACAAATAAGAAGTCAGAACCTCACCTTTATTGTGTTAGCTGTTCAAAAAGCGTTTGCTGGCTGGACACCAACCATTAGTAAATTAGAGCTATGCCAGCTCTTAAATCCCCATTATTATTCTGAAATGTTCTGAAGGGGGAACCGCACACTTTCAAAGTGTCTCTCACATTATTTGGCAGACGTGTTAAATTATGGCTCTCTTGGCATTGTCAGAGAAAGGCAATAAATGTAAAGTATAACTAGTGATTAAGGAGGAGGTGATTCTCTTCATATTCATCGGCACTTGGCAATAGTCTCAGTGGTGGGCACTAGAGGAAATAGAGGGCACTTGGCTGGCCAGGATGTTCTTAAAGAGTTGATTAGTCTCTTCTTGAAACGTGTGTGCATGTATATTATGTATCTTCTTTACCGACAGATGAGTCAGAGGAGAAAGACAAAGTGAGACGAGCAGCCGAATGCTGTCGACACATTCTCAGCCACGTCAACCAGTCAGTGAAGGAGTCGGAGAATAAACAGGTAAACGGTGCAACTCGATCCAGCTGCCACTCTCTCTCGGTTTGGCAGACAGCCCAAGGTAGGCAGACTTTATAGCCTCAGGTCAGCCTAAAGGAAAGACTGGAAAACCAAAACTTAATGATTGTCAGTGTTCATCTTTAGGTTGAAAGCTTCCAGGTCTTCTTACATCAGCCCTGAAAATGCTCTTAGAGTAGAAACGGGATGATCCAACCTTCTGTAAACTGCTGGAGATCATTCATAAGAAAATTAATTAAAAAGAGGCCAGCTAGGAAAATCTAATATTTTCCTGCATCTACAGTGCATTTCTTAAAGGACTGCAACTTTAAAGTTTTTTTTTTTTTTTTGTTTTTGTGGTGGTGGTGGCGGCTAAAATCATAAGAGGTCAGTCAATGTTAATGGATTCCTTAGCATAAATATGTATTTTGTTTGTGTCCCACAGAGACTGGAGGACTACCAGAGACGGCTGGACCTCTCTTCCCTCAAGCAGAGCGAGAACCCCATGATCTCGGAGTTCAAGGTTAGTGCTAATCATACAGATTTGTCAAGCTTTTTTCTTGGAAAACCGTGTTCGAGGAGCAGAGAATAGCAGGGTATCCCACCAGTTTTTCTGTCATGCAGATCAACGTCAGTCATATTTGTGTGTCTGATTCATTTTTAGGAAGACAACATCTTGAGGAGCTAAAATCTAATTGTATATTTCTTCAGACAGATAAAAATGTTTATTAATTCAATAATATGTGGCATTCACTTTGCAAAATGTCGGTGTAAACAGTCAATCGATCCACATAAGGATCAGATTTGAAAAGCAAATCTAAATAAGGTGCTGTGTGATTAAAACTAGTGATTCCTTTCTAGTAACAACTAGGATTTTAAGAATGCGAGTTACTCATTCTTTTCTTATCACACAGAACCTGGATCTCACTAAAAGGAAGATGGTCCATGAGGGTCCTCTGTCCTGGAAGATTAACAAAGACAAAACTATTGGTAAGCCACTGCTCTCAAACTTCCCAAAAACTTGCTTTTTTTGATGATTGTTTAATAACACTGTTGTCTGTTCTTGTGTCAGAGCTGTATACTTTACTCCTGGAAGACATCCTGGTGTTGATGCAGAAGCAGGATGAGCGTTTAATTCTCAGGTGTCACAGCAAGAACCTCGCAGGAACGGCTGACACAAAACACATATTCAGTCCCATCATCAAACTCAGCACTGTGCTGGTGCGCTCGGTGGCGACAGGTGAGCGTCTGACTTCTCATTTGTCAAAAGCACACACTCTCCCCACATATATTTAAAGAATGAATCCTTATGGGGTTCCTTTATTTCCCAAAACAGATAACAGATCATTCTTTGTGATCTCCATGTCCAAAAACGGAGCTCAGATTTATGAGCTGATGGCCCAAACAGTGTCCGAGCAGAGAATGTGAGTTCTCGTCACTTCTCTCCTTCTCATGTTTCTGCTGTCCACTACTCTCTCATTTATTGAGCAGTGTTAATTGTCTTTCATATCAGGTGGCAACGGCAGATTGCTCAAAGGGCAGATGTTATGAACGCCAAACCCCACAGCGTCATTCCTTTGCCTCAGCACGAGTGAGTTCCTCTCTACTTGCAACTGATCTAAGCTTAATGCCGTTTTTGAAAAATTGCTAAATTATGTTCATGCAATATAAAAATGGTTTATAACTTTGTTTACATTATCATAGTTATAGTTATACATATTTATATTTAATGTAATAATTTAGAACATTTTTGTTTGATTTTTTTCATAATCTTGGACTGAGACGAGAGTAAAATCTATGCATAAAATGCATTTGAACGTAGCATATATAAACCATATAGGCCTGTACGTTACATAACTGTTCGTTTGTGTTCTAGTGGTGACAGAGACAGTGTCGAGTTAAGCAAGCTCAACAAAGGCTCTGAACGGATCTCCACAGGAAGCATCCAGTCCGCAGGTAGCTGTGCATGTACAAACGCTTGTCTGATTGTAAAAGTGTTGATTGCCACCATACTCAACTCGAGCCTTCATCATCTGTCCTCAGAGAAAGACAGTGAATTTTCGCCCACGGCAGCCCTGCGGGATTGTGTCCCTGACGCCAGCCCTGGGGAAGAGGACCAGGTCCCGAGAGCTGGCAGGGATGGCTCGTATCTGGACTCTGAGCTCTTGAACGGCAGGGACGCAGACTCTCTGTCCTGCTCGTCTAAAGCAGATGAGGCCCTTAAAACCTGTAAGACTGTGTTTGAACTGCATTAGCTTATGAACACATCACTTTTGTGTTTTATTTTTGACCACTTGAAATAATAAATGTGAAATAATTATTTACATAATATAAATTGTGCCTGCCAAACATCTTAACAATGCCAGATACCATGAGTTAAGGCTACTGTGCCCGTTTGTTTTGGCTTCTGCTCAGCATTGGGAGGCAATTGTCTGTGTGCCTGCCAACTCAAGAAACTGACAATTCAGCCACTATTGATGAAAAAAAAACTCCTGGAAAGACTTATTCATTTTCCAATTGTCTTTTAATTAGTTTAGTATCTAACAATAGAAGACTTTTAAGATCTTGTGCACTTTTGCTTCCTAATGAGATTCATTTCTGCTGAAAACAACAAATATGTGAACTTGATCATATGCATTTTGATATGATGCTTTTTGTATGAGGTCAACATGGGTCTTTTGGTATCTGAGCATCATGTTGGGATGCAGTTTGTTTAATTAATGGGAAATCTAACTCCGTTCCACATGTTGTTTTAGTAAACCGATTAAAAAATCGCTGTGGTGTATTCATGCTCTAATATGTTCCAGTAAATCCATAGATAGGTGCATATTACTTTTTTTTGTTAAAGGGATAGTCCACCCCAAAATATTGGTAACCAAACACTTTTGGTTCCTATTTACTTTCATTGTATGGACAAAAAATACAATGGAAGTCAATAGGAACCAAAAGTGTTTGCTACCAACATTCTTCAAATTATCTTTTTGTGTTCTACAGAAAAAAAAAATCGTACAAGTTTGGAATGACATGAGGCAAATTATGACAGAATTACATTTTTGGGTGGACTGTCCCTTTAATTAAGCGCGTTTATCATAATTCCTGTTGTAACAGTTTGTTGCAGCACTAATTCAACATCAAGGTAAATTTATCAAATAATTTAGACAATGTTTGTGAGCAATTAAACCAGCTCAATTAAAACATCTGAATCAGACTTATAACATCAGTTATAAATGGGGTCTCAGTATCACACTTGTCCTGTATGTTGTGTTATATGCGTTTTGAGGTAGTGTATCATTTACTAAGATCTGTGTACACATGATTGTCTTTTTCAGTGGCGGCGCTGAAGCAGGTGCTGGTGACTCAGCTGATGGCTCAGGATGAGGGCGAGCGATTGGGCAGATCGGCCGGCAGTCGTCTCCTCAGGACCACCTCTCTACGCACACCGGTGGAGCACAGCTCCACTCGCACCCCAAGTCGAGCTCAGGACTACATCTCTGGAGATACGGGCTTCTACGAGTGCACAGAGGACTACGGTGAGTGTTTGACCAGGAAACTTACTGTCTTGTTAGTAATACTGGTTGCTACGGAGAAGTGGGCTGGAAAAAATGGTGTCAAGATGTGGAACTGCAGGTAGTAATCTTGCTCCAAAATCCCGGTGTTCCGGCTGATCGTAGTTGTGCTTTTCAGCAGCTTACCTGGTTCTGGAGGGGTACGGTGGGCCAGGCGAGAGCAGTACAGATGACGATATTCAGGTCCGGAGAAAGGAGTCGAGTTTGGCCCACAGCTGTGCTGCTGACTCGGGCATCAGCCTCAAGTTCTCCTCACCGTCCTCTGGCAGCACGTCTCGCCTCAGCAGACAGGTCCTCTCACATCTACGCTGCCTGCAGGCCAACCTCAACCACCTCAAGGTCTGTCTGCTCTTACTGCTCTTTGAATTTAAGGGCTCCACGAAATATTCACAATATACTCAGGATTGTTTTGTTGGCTATATAAAATGTGATCTTGATTATTTTAAAGAACTTTTTTGAGGCCATTAGACTAGTTTTGTCATTTGGGAGTGTCAGGTTTTCTTAGTGTTAATTTTTTACTAAATGTTATTTTTATAGTTCATACATTTGTATCCACTATACTGGATTTTTATGACTGATACAGATTTTTGTCTAATAACTGATATGCAGAAGTAATTTAATTTTTTTGTTTACAAATAATACAATTATTAAATTATATACATTTAAAAATAATAATTTATTGTTGTTAATGATTTCTTAATAGTAATTATATATTATATATATATGTATTTTAAACAATTTTTTATTTATAATTAATAATACATATACATTTTATCCCTTTTTTTAATTTCTCATTTGAGAACTGGCTGTTTGAAAAAATTGGTAATTATCCAAATAATATATAAAATAATAACTTCACCATTGAATACTGTTGTTTGGTGCTAGAAAGCCACCAGATGTTGCAATTTATTTCTGAACTTGATATTAAAGAAATAGTTTTTGACGTTTATAGACTGATTATTAATGACCATCAGTGTTTCTATACTTTTAAGCTTTTTAAGCCTCAAGTAATTTGAGTAATAACTTAGTAATGCTTTTCAGGAGATGGAAACCAAGTATTATAATCTACTTCGCCAAAGGCCTGTTGGGTCAACAGCAGATACGGACGAGAGCAGAGGTAACGTGAACACCACAGTGACTGCTAAACATTTCAAATCTAATAACAGCCTTTGACACTGAGTTTCTGTTTCAGGATTATTCCATCATTCTACTCTGTCTTATTCCTCCCACAGATAAGAAATAGAGTGGCAGAAGTTCTGGCTCCTGTGATGATGGGGGCATCGCTTCTATCCATAACATGTCTTCCTCACTGCTGAACACCTCCATCCAAAAATGAGGGGAATATTCTAACAAGGCCTCTCGCTTCTGCCAGAACTCGTCAATTAGGGAAGACGGACTGTCTCCTCTCAGCCTTACCTGTCCCGAGTACATGTCCTCATTCCAGCAAACGTGGGCAGCCCAGTCTCTTCTCCTTCCCCAGCAGCCCTCGCTAGAGAAAGGAGAACTATACCAAAATGTACAAAGCTGTTTAGAAAATATATAAGCTGAGAAATGATTTTTTTTAACTAATAATGTATTAAGTTGTTTTCTTTTTTAAATCCCAAGATGTATTTATTTTTCTTTTTAGTGTTTTCCATGTTTCTGGCATGCTTTTGGCTGTTGAAACTCTTAAGCTGTCTGTCGCTGTAGGCTTCAGTGTGACTGAACAGGGCGAGCGCTCCAGAATTCACTCTTTTCTCCCTCAATTCTTATGCATGGAAGCCCAAGTCTGTGCAGTACATAAAGAGAAGTTTTTGCTCAAGGCCTCCTTCAGTTACTCCAGCCATCTGACATTCCTCCCAGAGACCTGGACTGATTCATGTGCCCGCTAGACCCTCCTGCTGAGATGAAGAGTGGATGGAGCTCAGGCTCTCTTGGTCTGCAGCTACATTTTGATGACTGCAAAAAGAGAAGATTTGCCATCAAGATTGAAGGTGATGCAAAACCTGGAAATAAAGATGCAATGACAAAACCTTTGTACTGATCAGTTTGGCTTCATTTTTGGCAGTTTTTTTAAATGCAGGCACCCTAATGAGTATATGTGCTGGAATGTGACCCAGAATGGGAATTCAAGTAGCGTGTCAATCAAAACTGCATAAGCATATTGTTTGAAAACAAAATCACTCTTAAAAAGGAACAGCCAAGTTTTATTGAAAAATGAATGGATGTCCAGTTTTGATTGTCCTTTAACATGGACAAGAGCTTCTGGCAAGTTCCTCCTTAGGAGTTCAGAAATAATATGTGATTTCGGTTAGAAACAAATGGTCGAGCAGTTTCATATTTCTTTATCTTGACAAGACAGGAAGCTTTTTTTGCGTTGGTGCTATTAAATGGAGAATAAAGAATGCAAGCATAATTAATGCTCTAATTATGTGCTTCCACGGAGAATGATTGGAAATTTAGTTTGTTTTTGAAGTCGTGCGAGCCTGTCTCCTCATAAACCAGCTAAATGAGTTGTGTTTTCTGGCAGGCTTTATCGTTATTCCTCATCAAGTGTACATAAAGTGGGTACAAACTAAATTGTACAGTCATCATTCACAGTTACAACGTTTTATGATCAATACCAATTTGCTTTTGCCATGATTCTTTCCTTGACGCACCCAGTGTGTGAATTATGCACTGACTGTTGGTGTGATGAATCTTTATAGTACTTTCTGCGAGTGATTTTGGAGTACAGTCATTCTTGAGAAATGGGACAAAACAGGGTGCAAAATTGAAAAAATAAAACCTTGTACTCAGACAAATGAAACTACATTTATGTATCTTATATGTACTAAGCTACTGAGCTATATACTTTGAAACAACCTCCCGACTTTTCTCTTTTTTAACAAAATGTGCTTTTTTACCTTGGACTGTGTAATATAATTTCAGCTATATCTTTTAACAGCATTCAAGATGTTTTTAACATTTCAAAACACATTCTCGTGTTAGACAGATTACACTTTCACGTGACCAACAATTCCACAACAAATATAAAATATCAAAATATTCATCTGATGGTGGTGACGAAAACCTGAATTTGTAGTCATTTTAACTATCAAATACATTGAATCAGTCAATTAATGGCTGTGACACAGGAAATATTAACATTAGGATTTAAAATATTCTAAAACTAAAAAACTTAGCAGAGCCTGTCTGACACTGATGTACTCTGCAGAGGTGAACTGTGGCAAGGGGGTCCTTTAGAGTGACAGCTGCCCCTGATATTCCCTGATTTTATTACATTTTATTGAATGTCTGACGGTGTTGACAAAAAGTGGGGACGCAACTTTAAAATCTTATGAAACATGCATGTGTCATTAAAAAAAACAACCTTGCTTTGATAGGAGATATTTTTAAGTGTTGCTTTTGATAAAGCAAGCTCTTTTTCATCATTAAAAAAACATTTTTATCCATTTTATTGCATATGAATGATTGAACCCTTCTCTGTGGACACGCTGTTTTAGATGTAGTGAGAGGACATAGGACTATAATAATGAGAACATTAAATTGAAGGTGATCATTGTGTTAAATACATTCTATTATTAATCCCTCATGACATTTAAAATTGAACATTTTTATTTTTTAAAGCTAATAGCAGTTACCCTTGCTGGACCGGTTTTGTCCCACGAGTAAAGGCTTATGCAACCCGGCACCCATAGTCTTTAAAATCATACATAACGAATATTTTAACAAAATAATTTTATTTTGTTTAGGATAGTAAGTAAACCTATAATAATATGAGAGAACATAACTTTCTAAATACGATGTGCTAATCTCAACTGTAAGCCCTTGGGCTGTTTACTGTTGCTATGGTTACCTCTTCATGTGATTGCGAATATGTAGTGCTATATGAAAACACTAGGGGATTAAATCGGATGTTTCATCACGATATGATCTGACAGATTCTCCTCGCCAGAGATTCAATATTTGCCAATACCTCAAAACGTGGCATGATACGATTACGATTTGATTAGATTCAGGGGCCTGAGATCGATATATCACTATTAGCCTACTATTATTATGTGACCTGCTGTTTTACACAACCAGATAAACCTTTTTATTAATTTACAAATGCAACCAAAATATAACTGACATTTAACTGAAAATTGTAAATTCCAATTGGGACATACAGACTACAGTTACCTTTTTATTCATTACATGATTATTTATTCACACAATAGCAATAAATTATTCATAATTTATTGATTCTCCTTATCTCTTCTGTTTCATCTTTTAAATTTTCCTTTCTAAAACAGCCTGCTGCTTATATACATTCAGTTCTTCCAGTTTTGTGGACTTTCACATGAAACCCAGTCACGAGTCCGGTGGCTAATTACAGAGGCCACACAGCATTTGAACACTGGATATACAAAAATCATTTCAGTTTTAAGTGTTTCAACAATGCATCAGCTATTTAGCACAAATATTGAACAACTGCTGTTTTTTTTAATGATTACTTTGGAAGGATTTGTCTTTAAAACATTAAAATACACAAAATCACATTATTTCTTATTAAAGGGGTCATATGATGCTTTTTTAAAGATCATTATTTGGTGTAACAGAATATGTTGACATGCTTTAATGTTCAAAAAACACATAATGTTTAAAATACTGTACATTATTGTAGGTACATTATTGTAGGTCCTCTATGCCCCGCCTCTCTCAAACGCTTCTAAAGAATATCTCTTTGGTTTTGAGACTTTAGTCTTTGCAACTTCAGGGATCTTATCTATGCACAATCAGCTTGTAACTCTCCAAAGAGAAAGGAAAACTTGAAATCGCATCATATGACCCCTTTAACATGTAATGCAGGGATTCCCAAACCTTTTTGTCAGTCGAACGTCTTTCACCTAATAAATTTACTTGAGAGTAATAAGGTAATAATAGGTAATAAGTTAATAAAAACACACATTTTCATGTTCTTTGAAGTTGGTTAATGGTTAATTTTAAAATTTATTTTAGTTTTGATTTAATTAACTATTAGCTTAATGTTTAATGCACTTCATGTTGTTAATAACATCAAATGGAATATATTTTCTTTCTCTTTATATTTTTATATCAATATGGTACAAAATGATCCTATTTAAATCAATAAAATAAGCAAGTTAGATCAAAAAGTAATGCGATTGTATTACCTAAAATGTAACTACAATTTTTGTCATGTAATTTGGAATCAGTAACGGACTACAATTTGTAAGTAATCTACCAGCACTACTGTTTTTTTTTCCCCTAAGCCTGTTTGTTTAAATGATTTTGAGTCATGCCAACTCCAAAATCTGTTACAAATCTCAAGTTTTTACTAGTAACCTAAATATGACATCGTGGTGGTTCATGCATTATTATTTTATAAATACGACCATTCCCACATGACATGGGGGTCTTGTTACATTATTGTAAAACATAAACATCAAGATTAGGAGCAGAAGTCGAAGAATCAATTTATTCTGTTCTTTGCTTGAGTCATCCAGCATTTCATGGTATAAATAACCAAGTTTGCACCAGATATTCTTGTTGATTATACAGTGACAAGCCAGTAGAGGGCAGTTAGTGCTTGTCTGTCTAGAGACTCTGTGTTTGCCCATAGGGCTGCAATGACGTCAATGCTCTGGGTTTAACTGGGCTCTACAGGTTAGCCATGCAGATACAGAGCAGAGCAAGTGTTTAAACTACAACTGTTAAGCTCAGTCAGTCCTCCTCAGGCATTGCTCACTACCACGGCACTTGTTGCAAATAATTAAAAAAAATAAGAAAAAGCTCTTCACTTAACCATGCTCGTGCATACATCAGTTGTACTCATTCAAATGAATCACAGAGCTCCATTGTAGCCTCAGTCAAGATTTTTATAGAGACACTGTTCCTCCGAAGGAAAGTGGTTACCTTTTTGCACTATATGTCCTCTGTGGTACAATGTCCCCATGGTTTCACCCTTAAAACACAGTGCAGTTGAATGCAGATCAACAGACAGCAGGATAATTGATTGTCTCAGTCTCTGCATGCACCTGTCAATTATCTAATTGAAGCGCTGAGGGGGGCGAGAAGAAGGGCAAACTGTGGTGTCACATCACATCTCTAGTCTCTCCGGTCACCTAGACCAACCCAAGAGCCATACTTTCTGTTCCACGCACCTGAGAGCAGCATGCATGATTACACGAACATACACTGAAACTGTTGAAATAATTTAAATGATTTTACAATATATGCGGCTTTATGAAGATCTAAAAAGTGCTGTGGTGGTATAGTACAGTGATGCTCATACCAAGGTAGCCTACTTGGGTTCCAAGTGTCTAAGACCATTAGTGAAAAATGCTTCCAAGATGTAGATGACTTTGTTTCTTCATCAGAACAGATTTGGAGAAATTTAGCATTGCATCACTTGCTCACCAATGAATCCTCTGCAGTGAATGGGTGACGTCAGAATGAGAATCCAAACAGCTGATAAAAACTTCACAATAATCCACTAGTAATCCACAACGATTTTCTCCAAATCTGTTGATGAAGATACAAACTCAATTACATCTACATTCATCACATAATCTACATTCACACAATCTAAATCTACATTCATATTCATATAATCCTCGTATTATATACTGTGCGCAGCCATCTTTAGAATTTTGTCTTTGTACTTCCGTTTTTTTGCAGTAGCTCTCTAGCGTCATAACCTACAACACTATCAGTGCAATGCATCCACTGGCTTTTTCCTTCTGCCTAAAACTGAGCTACTCTCATTATGACAATAGACAGAAAATATATGATTTACATTAAAATTGTGAAATTTATAGCTATATATCTTTTTTTTTAATGACAAGTACTGTACCACAATTTTCTATGTTTTTCTGCAGGCAAACGTACATTCTGTGTGGATTCGGTTTGCTCATTCATTACAGTGGGCGTATATCCTCACAGCCGCTTTCTGCCTGACATACTGTGCTACCCATATTTGAACACATTTATTAAGGTACATAATCATAGTTATTTTCCACTTGACAT